GAAGAAAAGATGCTCAGATTTTTTGTTTTGATGAAGCCGATAATGCGTTAGACCAAGACAATCAAGAACAAATCCGAGAAAAAATTAGGGAGTTAAGTAAAACTAAGATAGTCATTTATATTAAACATTAAAATAGTTTTGTTAGTTAATTGTTAGAAATGTCGAGGTATCTAATTTTATTTTTTTGGTGATGTGTTGTTGGAAGTCTTGGAATATAATACTTATTTTGCTTAGCCTTATCTCGCGCGGGTATATTATTATTATTTAATTAGAGAACTATAAATTAGATTTCCTAAGCATAGGAAATAAAAAAATAACAGCATCAACCTCATTTTTTTGACATGTTCTCGCGGTTAATTATCCTTTATATTTCAAAGTAGTTGCTAAACTAGTAAAATTAGCAAAGCAATTTATATTATTATCAAAGTTCAAGGCTAAATTAAAACAAATTAATATATTCTCTTGTTATGAATAAAAAAATTCGCCATCTTTTTCCCTTTTTCACTCATCACAAAAATTTGGTTTACTTAGACAGTGCAGCTACCAGTTTAAAACCTAATCTTGTCATTCGAGCCATTAATGATTATTACCAAAAATATTCTATTAACAATCATAGCGAAAGCAGCAATTCTTTATTTAGTAAAGTTCACAAGACTATCCACCAAACTCGCCACCTAATCGCGCAAAGAATTAATGCTGAAAGCGAAGAAATTATTTTTCTACCCTCCACCACTTATTCCCTAAACATTTTGGCTTTATCCTTGAAAAACCATTTAAAAAAAGGGGATAAAATTGCTCTAACTCATTTGGAACATAGTTCTAATTGTTATCCTTGGCAGTCTATCGCTCAAGCAAAAGAAGGGCAGGTGGTGTTTCTTCCTTTGAACAAAAATTTCACGATTGACACTGACAAATTAGAGAATTACCTTGACCCAAGGACTAAAATAGTTAGTCTTTCTCACATGAGTAATAGTTTAGGAGTTATTAATCCTGTCAAAGAAATTACCGCGAAAATTAAAAAAATAAATCCGAACTGTCTAGTGATAGTTGATGCTTGTCAAAGTATTTCTCATTTACCAATTAATGTCCAAGCATGAAACATTGATGCTCTGGTTTTTTCCGGACACAAAGTCTATGGTCCAACCGGAATAGGAGTATTGTGAATTAAAAAAGAATTGGGGGAAAAATTACCCGATATACTATGAGGGGGTGGAAAAAAGATTAGCCCTCACGATAAAACCAACAACGATTTACCGTTAGTTAAAAAGTTCGAAGTTGGCACCTTGCCCTTGGCTCAAATATTTGGTCTCCAAAAAAGTTTTGAGTTTCTGAATGAACTTGGTATTCAAGAAATAAGTAATTATGAAAAAAAATTAAAGGATTATGCCGTAAAGGAATTAGCCAAATTAGAAAAAATAATTATTTATAACCAAGCTTTAGAAACGATTGACCTGGTGCTTTTCAACTTAAAAGATTATCATGCTCACGATGTAGTTGACTATTTGGGAAAAAACGATATCATGGTTCGAGCGGGTAATTTTTGTTGCCCTTACTTAAAAGAATTAATTGGAGTGGAAGCCGCCCTTAGGATTTCCCTCTTTATTTATAATACCAAAGAAGAAGTTGATAAATTAACCCTCCACCTAAAAAAAATTATGCAAGAGCCAAAATTGTTAGTGCCTTTATAAAGGTATAGACAAAAGTCTCTAAAAAGTCCCGTCATTCAGGGAGATAATTTTATGCTGCAAAAAAAGAGTAAAAAACCGCTAGACATGGAAAAACTTAATAAAAAGAACTAAAAAAACTTTTTCCAAAGCCTAACCGAATTAAAAAAAGAAAAAAAAATATTTCAACTATTTAGGAAGATTTTTGATAAGAAAATACATAACAAAAACTAATAAAGATAGAAAAACGAAAAAGAAAATAGAAAAGAGTAAAAAAAGCATTAATTGCTTCCGAGAGAGTTGACCCTTTCTATATTTTTTTCGTATAGAAGGAGAGTTGAAAGAAAAGGATAAAATGATGAAAGAACAAGGAGAAAAACTTCAAGAGCAAATAAATAACCTTAGCAACC